CCGTTGCTGTTACTACAGGTGCAAGAGGGGCCAACGGGATCAACAGACCATTGGCCATCCGGAATTTGGTTCATGTTCGAGCTCCTGGACGGTGTTGCACAGCATGAAATCTGCACGTACTCGATCACATCCTCATTCACGTCAATGCAACCAAAGTGGCCGTTGAGTTTAGAATGAGCAGCAGAAGCATGGGCATCAGCGCGACAAATCTGAATCAAACCAGCTAGTAATCCCTGCAAGAGCAGTCCGCACCTCGTGGCTAGCATTGGTCACCGCCACGCTCTTCTGTGGCTTCCTTCTGCTTGATCAACGCTACTTTTACACACATCTCCCTCATCATTATTCGGCAGATCAACTATCTTGTCAACCATGGCCTGGGTACATATACATCAGGCTGGCGGGTATGCACATTTGGAGGGGCATGCATAAATGCATGCATGGCTAAAGGGGTTGCACCTTAATCTCGATAGAAGAAGTAAGTTGAGAGATGTGTAAATGGTAAGCAAATTAAAACTCACTTTCTTTTGAATCGGAAAGAGCTTCCAATTCTGGGGAGATTCAATCTTGAAGGATGTTGGCTTCTTCACGCTCATGCTGACACTGATGCAACCATCCTTTGGGATCGTCTTCTCCTCCTCCTCGACGGGAGTCATCTTGTGCGAGCATTTGTGCTCGCCATTGCGGACCATCTGATTAAACACCACACCAAATTAGATAAAATCACAAAAATCTATCAGAACTCACAACTATATATGAATATTCAGGCCGGAGTTTGGGTCTTAATGGTGCGAAATTTCGTCTCTTGTAGATCAGGGTGAAGGTGCCACCCAAGAATTCTTGCAATTTGCTAATATAACACACACACACACACACAACAGTTCAGAATTTATAAGATAAAATTTTCTTGATTTTAATTAACACATAAATCAAGAAAATGGTATAAAAACCTTTTAAGAAAGAGGTATTAGCTAGCTAGTTTCTAACAGACACAAAAACACAAACGTATGTACGCATTTAGCGATAATCTTACATTAACCTTAGCAGTGATCTTGGAGTCAAGGAATGACTGACAGTGTTCCACAATAGCCTAAGTCCTGGCCTGTCTACTTATTCGTGACTTTCGTAGGAAATTTTCATTAAAAAAATAAAAAATAAAAAAGATCTCGATCCAGTTAATAGACATCCAGGAGCGCGGCCATGAACTGGTTGTGGTTCACTCCCCTATCCCACTCCGGCGGGAGGCCGTCGGAGATTGTGACGTAGCGAATATCGAGATCGGGCTTGCGAATGCCGGAGAACATGGCGTCGTTCCGGCGATTGCTCTTGGTGAGGTGGTAGTGTACAGAATCGGTGTTGAGGAAAGTGATGGCGAAGCCTTTCTCTGCTAGCCGGCAAGTGAGGTGGACGGATGGGGTGATGTGGCCTTGTAGCGTATAACATCTCAAGATTGCATGCGGCTTTTGGCCGGAACCTGTCGTAGCTTGGATTATTTTTAACCGACAACTGTGTTTAAAAATTCTCAGAAATGTAGAAGAGAAGAAAGCATATCAAGATTGATGGTTGGGGGTTGACTTAAAAATTTGGTCATTGACTTAAAAAAAAAAAAAGGTCTACATCAACTAATAACTTGTGCCATGTCATCATATTAACCTGGAAACTTGTAAAAAAAATTTAGGTGAATAAAAATTTAATAGTTCGTGGATAAAAATATCACTTATGAAAGGCTAGGGTGCGAGATGAAGAATTTGTTATAGTTCATGGTACAGAATGACACTTTAACCTTATAATTAGTACAAACTATTAACTCTGTAATATTTATAAAATTGAGAAAAAAAAAATATTAATCCCATATATCTATTTGGGTTAATTAATGACTAATAATTAAGCAAAAAAATATTTGTAAAATAGTACCAAGTATTTATGAAACTCACTACCTGTCTTTTTTTTTTTTTTTTTTTTTTTTTCATTTTTCTCACTTTAATTTTCGTCATATAAATGGATAAGTTTAATTTACATTTTTTACACGAGACACTGCTCTCCTATGATTCTCTCTCTCCCCCTATATATATATATATATATATATATATATATATATATATATATATATATATATATATATATATATATATATATAGAGTAAAAGACATTTTTGGTCCTAGACTTATAGTGGCTTGGACAATTTTAGTCCTTTATAAAAAAAATTTGCCATTTTATGGACAGAGTTATTGTGGCGAGAACATTTTTGGTCCTCCGTCTATATTTCTGTTAGATAACCGTATGAGAGAGGGGCAATTACGTCAATTTAGGCTATCTCTTTATTGTGAGATGGACGATTTTGGTCCCACAACCATGCCTTTACTCTGACCCTCATTTATTTGTAGTTTTGCACTACGAAATGCTCTGCCCACAACCATGCCTTTACTGCAACTTAGACTCTCCGACTCCTTCGAATTATGACCGAGAAGAAAACAAAACACACAGATATAATAGATAGAAGGAGATAGCCTAAATTGATGTAATTACCCCTCTCTCAGGCGGTTATCTAACAAAAATATAGACGGAGGACTAAAAATGTCCTCGCCACAATAACTCTGTCCATAAAATGGCAAATTTTTTTATAAAGGACTAAAATTGTCCAAGCCACTATAAGTCTAGGACCAAAAATGTCTTTTACTATATATATATATATATATATATATATATATATATATATATATATATAGAAAGAGACTTAGGTGAGAAACTGCGACCTACTGCAAAAGTGCACACAATCTACTCCCAGACCGGCATGTATAGATGATGGTGAACACCCTAAAATAGATTGTATGTACTTATATAATTCTCACGTTCTTACCTAAAATATGATTCTCATATAATCCTCAATTTTTTAAAGTAATGTTATTTTATCATCTTAAAATTATTTACTAATATTTGTCTTCTGTGAGTATTGCTCATGATGTGCTCAACTTATTATGAGTTTAAAAAATAATTCACGTAGTAATTAAGGAAAATTCTACAGATATAGAAAAAGCATCCTGCCACCATTCATTTTTGTCCACACGAACTTAGCTCAATATATAGTTCAGTAGACAGTATTTTGGAGAAGAAGACATAATTCATTTTTACGTATAGTAATAAATACAACATATTTTCTACATTACAAAACTTTTCATAACGACTAATTAAATACACACCAAATAAATAAAATATTATGCTAGAGACTTGTACAATTACTACTCTCTATTAATCATTTTTTGACATGTTTATCTTTTTATTGATCATGGACAAATATTTTTCATTCCTAAAAGTTTTTCATAAAAATAGAATGAGAAAAAAAAAAAAAAATTCTAACAAGAACATAAACAGAACGAGGAGTATACTTCCCGCGACACTGTTCTCATCCCTAAATTGGAATGCAACATTCATCTTTTTATCATGCTCCTAAACCAATCTACTACATTATTTTAAACTATGTTGGGAAGGTAGTCTAATTTATCTTAGCCAATTACGTGTACTTAATTAATTAATCAAGTAATTAGTCAATTATGACTCACTCTTAGTCAAATAACCTACCTAAAAAGTTTTCGTTTTCCATATTAACAATTGCCACGTGATTGGTTGAGCAAATGCCATGATTGCCATCACTACATACTGAAAGAAAGTAACCCAACCAAGTTAGTTAGATTAGGCAAATTATTCTGTGAATCCAGATTTAAAATACATAATTTATATATTAAATGTTCACAATTTTGTAAAAAGTAAATTGTGAACACTCAATATGTAAATTGTGATTCAATATGTAAATTATGTATTTTGAACGCCGGTTCCTAATCCATGGTATAACTCTCTATTAGGTTGTTAACTTAATAATTACAGGATTATAAGTTTGATTATTAATTAAAGGGAGCAATCTATTAATTTTACCTTATCTTCCCCAATTGAAGGAGACTAGGATAGGGACCATATACCATTTTTCCATTAGAACACTTAAACGTCATGTTGGATATCAATGAGCCTTTAATTGGTGAATTCAACTTTGGTTATTTCACTTATTTGCAAGTTTCTTCATTTGATGCAATTCATTAGGAATACACATGACTACCTATGGTAGCAAGAAGTTACAAATTCAATCGTTGCAATCATCATAAGTTTTTTTTAAAAAAAAAAAAAAAGATAAAACCCTAAAAAAATAGAATAATACTCCATCCGTCTCATTTTATGTGTTTGATTCAATTAACGAGGTTTAACTAAAATTATTTTTAATCCAATTCTTCATAATATTAAGTTTAGTATTAGTATACAAAATTTATATATTTAAAAACTACACTAAAAGTACTATTAAACACAAAAAATTAAATTTAAAAATAAATAAAAAATATTAAAGAAAATAAACAAAGAATAAAAAGTTGATTTGACCAATGAATAATAAGTATGACATATAAAATGGGACGGAGGGAGTACTATATATACTAATACTATCACCTTTTATTTCATTTTTTTCACTCACTTTCTGTTGTCGTAACTCGTAACATATTTTGATTCATCCAAGAAAAAAATAGACCATAATTTTTTATTACATATGATCAGTGTTTTGCAAAAATCCCGTCTAGACACCGATTAATCAACACCTAGGCGCTGTCCGGCCGCCACATAACATATCACCATAATCGGTGGTCTAGGTAGCTGGCCTCCTAGGCACCGATTAGGTCGCCTAGTCGGCCGATTAGTTATTGTTCCTTTCTTTTTTAAATAGGTTATTTCACTCAAAATGATATCATTTTGACCGAAATAACCCAAAATTGTTCAAACATTAGATATTTTTTAAGTTAATATTTAATATTTTAGTATTAACTATTAAAGTATTAAATAGTTTATAATTAGTCAGTCTTAAAAAATTAAACAAATTTTTAAAAATAAAAAATTAATCAAAGGCGCCCCCGAGCGCCCGAGGAGTGCTTAGTGATTTTTTCAACCATGCTTATGACTAGTCTCTAAGAGTGTACTCCATCATTTGTCAAGAATATATGATATTAGTACAAGAATAGTCCAAAGTGGTACACTACCTGTCCATCTCAAGCCAGGATTTTAACTACTTCCACCCAAACTACCAGAACAAAACCATGTAGAACTGGAGTAGTATAAAGTATAAACATTTCACAATTTCACTAAATCATAAAAAACAAATGGAATCATGGAAAACGTGTGAGCCTGTTCACAGCTGTGTCTAGTGCATCTACGTTCCTCCGAAGGATTTTACTTCAAACTATCAAGGAAAACAGCACAAGATAAAAGTTTTAAAGAAATTACACAACTGACGGCTGTTGATGTTGTCGGTTGATTGGAATTCAGGCATGAAGAATCGTCGGAGCAGTAGAATAGAATGGGCCATCTTAAATGCTTTTATGAATGCTAAAATATGTTAGTGGTGTGAGACCAATTCCATGAGAACAATAAACAATGGACATATGCATATGCATACAAATGCACAACAGCATATTAAGGATTACATAAACTATGGCGAAAAAAAGGATACAGTTGTGCAGCAAGATTCTCAATTCCTTTCATTTCCTCATTCAATCTGCAATAGGATCAGCGCCAAAAGTAAGCCAGACATAATTATAATCTATAGTTAACATAATGCTTAAACTGCATAAACACATGTACCGACGAACCTCACAGGCCTCATTTTTGTTTACCTTCCTCTCTCTCTTGTTTTGTTGTTGTTCTTTTTTTGTTTTTTTTTTTTTTTTGCCCTTAGAATTTTAGTTAAGGTGAAGAGTTACTACCTGAGGCTAGAATTTATATACCGATTCCCCTTGGTTGCTGCATCAAGAGCTGTGGCATAAAATTGCACAAGTTAGATATAAGTCAGAGTAGTGTGACAGTAGAATCAAATAATACAAATTGAACAATGTGTTATTTATCAACTAAAGGGCTAAGTAGTTGGATCCCAACTCTTATACCAAATTGAAAAATGTGTTCCATCTTAACTAAAACTTAAACTGATAGTTAGATTGCACACATTTATAATGTGTATATATTATGTTCAACAATTCAGAAAAGGCTTCCAGAAAAATATAAGGATCGTAATGATGAAATTGAATGGAAAATTTTCCAGAGCACAAAAAGTATCAATTACAAAGAACAGCATTTAGTAAAGGTAGCTATTATTTAGTTTCAAGAGGAAAAGACAAGTATGCTATCTTTCAATCTTGTGGCTAGGCTAGAAGATTGCTGGATTTCATTCCACATTTTACTCATAGAAGGAACAATATTTACACACAACGGGCATAAACTAGCAGACAAACTGATCATATAGCTAAGAAGAACCACTAAGCATATGAAATCATAATGTACATATAACAAAGAATATACAGATGGGCTTGCTATCAAATAAAAGCCATGAAGTGCAGCTCATAAATACCACATTCTTGAAGGCGGCCAGCTGCATCATTGAAACAGCTCATATGCTCAATTGAATTGCTAGTAGCCTACAAACACACACAAAAATGAAATCAAGCACATATATTTTTGAAAAGCTAATAGTTTTAAAATTTTAACTTCGAAGTCAAAATAATCATCATAAGGTTAAGAATCGAACAATGTGAAACCCCTCAGAGTAAGAACTAGTAGCGACCACGTAAAGCCAATATGAATATACGGCCTAGTTCTGGAACTGAACATAGTCTTTCCTCAAAAATAATCCCAAAAAGCAACACATTGTGAGTCCAACCGGAAGAGATGTTGAGGCTGAGAGACTGCCAGCAGGGAAGCTTTTCTGGCTACGATGACTGACAGAAAGAAGACTATCTTTTCTTTTTTTTTTGGTGACTACAATCTAACACTAACTATTTGCTCAACATGAACCTATGACCTTCCGTGTTAGAAGGTTAACAGTGATGCCATCACCATAAGGTACTTGGCAAAGAAGACTATCTTTGTCATTCATGTGATTGATAAGACCTAACAACGACCTATGATCTCAATGAAAGATTTCATTTTGACAACAGAGTAACAATCGAAATAGCATTGGCCTTTATTCTGAACCTTGGTGAGCTCCTCTTTTAATTGTCTATATACAAGAGCTTTCAAAGTCATTTTGCAAGGAATAAGTGAATAACCTTTTTTTTTTAGTTCAAAGAAGCAGTTAAGTAAAACCTTTTAAAATCACTGCCAAATCCTCTTTCCTTATCCAAACAATACACCTGAAACTCTTCAGAATTAGAATCTTTTGATTTCTAGCATATCTTCTTCACATTATAACCCAATTTTCCTATCAAATTCACTTTCACCCACCAGATGATGTGTAGAAAGTTAAATCATCCAAAAAATGCATCTTCTATCCGTCAAGTTACATTCTTAATCCAAATTACCTAACCCTTTCCACTAATTCAGTCTTTAAAGGTGAATAGATGAGTAAAAAATTAGTGAATTTGAGAGAGAGAGACCTCAGAGAGGGTCGTACGGAGGGAGGCGAAGAGGCTAGTGAAGCTCTGGGCGATGGCCATAGAGTCTCTCTCCACGACTTCGAGGGCTTTCAGCATCTCGTTCTTACCAAACGACGCCGTTCGCAGTTCCCCATTCCGATTGTCGGCATCGGCGGCACCTTCGACGTGAGAGTTCCCCGGACGTTCGGATTGCTGATTATCGTCACCGGCACCGGAGACTGTAGTATCCGACCTCTCTGATGAATCCATGTCTCCTTCCCCTCAAGTTTTCAGCTGTTAAATTTATTTATGGAGTTAATTACCAAAATGGCGAAATTACTAATGAAAATACTGTTGATATTACTTTCGGTAATTTATTGTCCAGTAAAAATAATTAAAAATTTTCATGTCTGAGCCCGGGGACCTCTAGTGTGTGAGACTAGCGTGATAACCAACTACACCACCCAGACGTCTTTGTTAAGTTGTTTTGACTTTATTTTGTTAACCTATTGTTAGCTCATTTCATATATGCATACATTTCATACCATAATAGTTTAAGTATATAAAGTCAAAATATCATAACAAAGATGTCTGGGTGGTGTAGTTGGTTATCACGCTAGTCTCACACACTAGAGGTCCCCAGTTTGAACCCGGGCTCTGACAGGAAAATTTTTAATTGATTTCACTGACAACAAATTTCCCTTAAGTAATAATTCATCAAACTGTAAATGATTTTTACCATTTATATTTGATGTATATGCAATATAAAGATATATTGTGTATTAATATATTTAAAGGCATGAATCTTATTGGAAAAAAAATTATTAGTGATATAATTCAATTCTTAGTTACGAGCAAAGGGTTTAAACATATATGTTTATAAATTAGATGGTCTCAAATATATTTCATAATTTTATACAAATATTCAAAAAAATCTTAAAGCTATAGCGTGATATACTTATCAAACTCAAAATATTTAACTTAACACTAGAGAAACATAAGTTAATAGGGAAAAGAGATTTATTCGTTCTTTAGGCACCCGTTTGTTGACTAGGCGTGCTAGACATGCAAATCAGTCGATATTAATTTATTTGATTAAAAAATGATATAATTTTGAATAAAACAAATCTAAAAGGAAATCGATTCTCCCCTTGGCAAATTGCAAAGGACGCCATTGTCACCCTCAAGGGGACTCAATTTTCACCATGGCATTGCCAAGATTTACATTTTTCATTTTTTATTCCCGGCTTACATTGCACACTTCGATTCATTCAAATAGAAATATGCTATCATTTTTATTCGTTTCTTTACATCTTTTTCTAATAAAATCAAGACACTAGGCCAAAAGTTTAGTCCTTGAAAATCCACGTATCATTTTCTTAATATACACAACATAACTACAAAACTTGGGTTATTTTGCTATAAATCATATGCAACAAAAATATTACAAATGAAACTATAAGCTATACTCTTTTTCATTGTATAATTATGCCTTGTATCCTTGTGGTTTTCTAATAGTGCATCTCTAATCTTACTATGAAGTGATGTAAAAATTTCAAACTCCTAAGCAAAATTTGCTTGGTTATCACCTGGGTACTGCACTCCACCTCAACAAACTTTCAATATAATGCACAACTAACACCGAAAAAGGTGATCGAGTAGGTGAAGTATCACATAAGATCTTCCTAGTGCAGTTCAATTCTTGCTAACACCCTCTCAATCCAACTCATCATATAGGATCTTCCTAGTGTGGTTTACCTCTCCTGTGTGATTTGCAGGTTATTACACAAAAGCAGGATAATAAAACGATTTAAAAGATATACACAAGGATAGCTATATGCCTATATTGTAACCTGCAACATAATTCTCTTCATTCACAGGATATAACACCGACTCGATAAAGTTTTCCACGGATGAATATTATTAACAAGAAAGGAAAACCAAAAGAAGCAGAGGGAACAATTCAAAAAGAGAATGCACGATAACACGGTCATAATTAACGACTCTATATTGCTTGGTGCACTAATAGTAACCAACAAATTGAGTAAAGAAAAGAACGACCGACAATAATGCTGTAGAGAGAAAGTGCAACAATGCCTGAGCTAAACTTCTATAAAGACACCACCAATGTCTATGTAAAAGGGGGGACAGACCCGTACAAACTAAATAAACCCTAGAATTATTGTCAACTTTATAAAAGACTATGATGAGTACACTAGCAAGCAACAAGTATTGCTGTATTGGTATAACTAAATATATACACAAATAACCTGGTGTATTGAAGCCGGCCGGCCAGAAACTAGTAGCATGGTCACTCGCCATTGTTAGCAGCCGAGTTATCTTCGGGTCTAGCTTCGTCGAGTGGTTTCTGACTATCCAGCCCAGCCTCCGTTGATTTCTTAAGAACGTCATTGCCTTCTTCCTCGTCTGTATGGGCATTAGCCAACTTCTCTCTGTCCTCGAAAGTTGGAGTGACCAATGGTTCAGTGCCAACATTTTTTCTGGCGGTTTGCTCATGTATAGTGAGCGTTGCAACTTCGTCTCTTGATGCGTACCAGGTATTACCACAAGGTCCACACTCCAGCTGGCACAGAAATAACAATCAGTACCCCAAAGGGAGAAAACTTATCTATGACAAGCAACGTCGTTTCAAGGCCATTCAAGCCTTCAAGGCATATCGAACTTTAACTAGGTTAAATTCATAAAAGGAAATCAAAATATGAATCTTTATTTTTTGCACCAAATTTATAGAAAACCCACAAGAAAAATACTCCGATGCATAGTTCAGAACAACAAATTGGCAGAAGTTTCGAGGATGGAAGAGGATTAGAGGAGTAATACTTTATCTACTAGCAAGATACAATATCAAACAGTTTTACAATTTACACACAATATCAATACAAATTATAGCAAAGGCATCAATGAAATAAGAGAAAGACCTGATAACGGTCCCCATGTCCCGTTTGAATGATTTCTAAGAGACGCACTTGTTTCTCAGTACATCTGTTGCACCGAGCATCAGTCATCTGTGCCATATCAAATAAGACGTTTATTTAAAAAATTAAAAAAAAAATTAAAAAAAAAAAAGGTCACAGCATTTTCATGGTGCTACATAGGATGGCATCCATTATATGCTCCGGAAGAGAAATAAAATATGGCTTATTAACAGTGATGGTATGCATTTTCCTCCCCATAACTAATTACCGAGTAAAGAATAAGCAATTGAATAACTCAATAGCAATGTTGAAAAAATCACTAGGCGCCTGGGGACCGCCTAGGCGGGCGCCTAGGAGGCCAACCGCCTAGCGCCTAGGCGTGATTTTTGCAACACTGCTCAATAGATTGATTAAGTAAAAGAGAAACAGTGATTCAAAAAACAAAAAGAACCTGTATGAGCTCTTGCTCATCAGGCTTCCTGCGTGCAATCTCTTCTGCTGTCAATCCCTCCTGAAATTCAATTGAAGAATAAACAATTATATATAGCAATGATAACACAAACGCAACTAAACCGTAATCCTACTCTAGTTGTATTGGCTATAGGGATATAGCAATGATAAACAATATGCTAATATCAAATCTGAAATTCCTGAGGAATAGAAAAAGAAAAACTTCCACATTTTTAATGAAGACTAGGAAATTGTATATGATCAATTTTCATGAAGGTAAGCAGCTTAAGAAGATATCATTTTTTTTTTTGGTTGCCCAAAGGTATCCCTCCAGCCGATAGCCAGAAGACTAATCCCCCGTCCCTACTGTCAGCACACTAAGTGGTAGGGGACTGGCCAAATGGTTTGCTCCATTCACATGGGTGGGGATCGAACCCCCAACCTCATGCTTAAGGGACAAGGTGCTGAACCAGTGAACCACCACGCCAACCATGTTGGTTAGCTTAAGAAGATATCATTGTTAAGCTCCAAAATTACATATTTACGTGGTGGGTCAAGCCATTCATGCCAATAACAACCCTTACTTTTAACTCATTTGGCGACATGTTCAATATTTGATATGCTTCCAACTCCCCATTTAAAAGCCGTTGGGCTAATTGCACGTTGTTCTGCAAAAAAAATAAAGAAAAAGAATTTGAAAATCTACATTTAATTTAATGAAGGTTAAATAAAAGCTAAGATTCTTACAAATAAAACACCATGGATGGACATATATGTATTCCTCCCTAATGTCATTCTAAAAGGTCACATTCAGAGAAAACAGCATATTTCAATTAAATACTAATCAATCCATTACTGTCATCCCTGAGATAGATACATCATACATATCCGTAAACATGGCTAAAGAAAAGCATCTCCAAACCTAACCTTAAAATTAAAAGATAACTGCCGCATCTTTTGGTTGTACTTCTGGAAATCAGACGAAAGTGCTTCATGTGCAGCTTTCTCGACAGCAACTACTGCAGGAACAGCAGTGTCTCGCCAACAAATATTTGCATCTCCCTGTGGAATAAAAGCGCAAAACATCTCAAAAGGAATCCTACTATACCCTGGTATTCTAGAAAGTAATCAAACCAATCTGAAGAACATTATGCATACATTTGAAACTAATCTAAACAGTCAGAAGAACAGAATGCATACATTTGACTTGTTTTCTTCAGACTCATTTACAAGGTTTGAGGAACTAGTTTTACTTGTAAGATCAGTGACATCAGAAACACCTTTTTCTTTAGCATCATCCTTACCACTACCCCCAGGGTTACTCATAAACTGAATAGCTTGAAGCAGCTTTTCCAACCACTTGTCACGGTGTTTTTCACCAGTAAGTGCATTGAAATCTGAAAGTATTTTGAAATACTCTGATGCAGTGTCTACACAGCTTCCTGGTGTTTCTGCCTTTAGAAATTGGCCATATCTACTGGGTGCATCATCCTTTCTAGAGACATCCAAAGATGGGATGCTCTTTTTCCTCAAAAGACGTTTACTCTTAAACAAATGATCTTCCTGTACAGCTGCAGCATCCTCGAGCACAATATCAGGAAGATCTCCAAGTCGCGAAAATGTTTTCTGAACAAGGAGATCAATCTCATGCTGCTTGCTATCTTCATAATCCTTATCTGTTAACTTAAAAAGATTCATCTGCTCGGTGTCATAGACTCTTTGGACGAAAAAACCAGGATGTTGCTTGCGATTTGGAATCTGTTTGTTTAAGGGGATAAAATGTACAACACACTTGTGCATGACAGACTCTGCAGGAACCTCATCACGGTGAAAGCTATAAAACAATTCCCTCGTATCACGTGAAGGCCAGTTTGCACCTGTTCTACTTTCTGCCTCCTCAGGTCGATAAAACCACTGTCCAGTAACCATCATGCCCCCTTTGCTGGTCTGGGAAATATCCTGCAAATGCCCACCCCCAAAAACCCACCCAAAAATAAATAAGAACTCATTGATAAGAGTGGTGATTGGAGGAGACAACCAGGATAGTCAAAATTCATTATTCATTGTTTGGATAATATATTTGAAGCATCGTCTACTCCTGGAACAAATCATTCTTAGGAACACCACTATCCAAAGGAATAGGAACTCATAGAATGTGAGAAATGGAAAAGGAAATATGAAACCAGGCATTTAAAACCAGCTTGATCTTGCATAAGAAAAGGAGAGGAGGGCATAATTGAAATCAGGAAATCTTATGGGTACACTGAACTCTACTTTTAGGTAGGTATTTAATTATTTATAGCAGTAAAAGGAATTATTTTGACTCAACTTTAATACACATAATGGCCACTAACATAAGTAACAAGAATAGGGAAGTAAAGGACTCAAAACTTAATGCAAATTTGAACTAGAACATAGCAACTTCCACATGCTGAAAATTTGGACAGTCTACACTAGATTTGGAAACACATGTTGAAATTCCATTATTGATAACCATCAATAAAAGTTTGAAGTGAGAAACAAAAATAAAAATAAATTAAATTAAAAACTGTTCATAATGACAACAAATACCTTAATAATAGCAACATAAGGTTTCTGATTTGGCTCCGCAGGAACTAAGAGCACTGGATCTTCCTACACAATAATAACACCATAGTAACATAAGAAAAAGGAAGCACAGTGCACGAGATCCACTATGCATATCTCTTGGGTAATTCTTACTGGTAACACAAGTACATAATACAAAAAGAAAATTGGAGACTTGTGAAAACCGGTTAACTGGCAGTGTCTTACAGATAAAAAGAAAATAACCCAGGAACCAACCCCTAAAAAGAACGCATACAATGTACTTTCCATCAGAAAAAATTAAATTTGCCTACCAACCAGTCCACTTCTAGTTCAACTCGAAATTGCAGTTTATAACAGTACCATAATAAGCCTTATTATTCTTTCTTACAGTTAGACATTTAACATATTAAATCTAGCAAGTCAATGATTGTATTACATAGAGAGTTCAAGACGATATATTTGGCGTTTGGTTGGTGACTTTTGTACCCTACTATCGGATTTGATTCCCATTGCCATGTTTGTTTGCCTACTTTTGCTATCCTACTATTGGATTCAAATCCTTTAGTAATCATAAAACCCAATACCCTTTTCCTCCAATTTTGAATATGGAATCAAAAATGAGGAAAAAAATAAGAAAATAAAAAAGGTTATTGTCCACGCACTTAATATGGAACTTTAATATATGTATTATATATATTTTTATATATTTATTTATTTTTATTTTAATTACTTATTTATTTATTTATTTATTTTTATTCCAATTCCTATTTACTAGAGACTTCTTCCACTTAAACCCATTACAATGGCCGAGTATTTGATTCCAATTACGATTCCAACTCCAATGTTTGAACCAAACGCCCCCTTAGACTCCAAATAAGAATAAATGTAGCATGTGCAGAGCAATTCAGATGCCACACACTCTTTATCATGTTACATTGTTACCAATTAGTAACGGTAACATTTTTAAATAGAGAATGAACAGCTGCTAGAAACAATGATTAATATCAATGTATAATGCATTTGTTTGCCATTAAAATGTTTCTTGGAACTATGAATGGCTATAGCAATCTAGGTACATGTTCCCTTCAAATTTTGTAGCTATTATGGAAAGCCATGAGTTATCCCAAGTAAACAACAAGTTAACAATTTAAATCTTAAAAGTATAAATAGTGAAGGTAATGACAACCTAAACTACAAATATATAGCAAATGTAATACAACTAAACTCGAGATACTTTCCTTACTTGAGAATTTGTAAACTTAGCCAACAGGATGAAGGATTAGGGTTATTCCTAGCCATGGTATCCAAAACATTCTACTCTGAGTTTTTCAACTTATTAATTGAAATCGTCACTCAGTGAGCAATTTGATCTCCCTAGTCCTTCAAAAGGAATTTCTCACTAAAGCAATCAATCTAGCCCATCTCAAAGAACAAACCTGTTATGAACTGCAGCAGGGTAAAGGCTGAAGGCTAAAGGGGGTGGTGGTACTGATACCTGGCAAGTTTTAAATTTAAGGTTAAAGTATTTGATGGTAGTGATGGTGCAAGAGGCTGAGATATTTGGATAAAAGGAAGAAAGGGTGGGTGTCATCACATTTAATTGAAGTTGCAATAACAGAAGCAGCCAAATCAACAATGGTTACTGATATTCAAAATTTTCTTCTAAGTCATAAAACTGAGACAGAATTTTTCATTACAGGTTAAAAATTATACTTGCTCTGTAAGCTCAATTTCCCTTCTTCAGCAATAAACTGCTGTCCCTTTTGAATGTCTTTCTATGAATACTCTATTGCTTTCCATTTTACTAGTCCAGTTCATTACAAAACCCAGCAAACAAGCAGAAAAAAATCTAAAGACTCAATTTTTGGCAATGCCACACCACACAAAACAATAGCCCTAAATAATGAAGATGATTTCAGTTAGCAACGCAACCCTAATCCAATAACAGGAAATTCTTTTCAGCTCAAACAAATTAAGCAAGCAGAGATATGAATAAAATAACACAAAATCACTCACTAGATCATAACGAAATCCATCATACTCGAAGGCGTCGTAGTGTTTCCTCCGTCCTCGGCCTTTGCCACTAACCCTAAGGACATCTCCAACGGGTTTGGCGTCCTCCTGCGGCTCATCTTGCTCCTCCTCCCCGGCCGAGGGTTCCGCTTCCGGCTCCACCTCTTCCACCGCTTTCTTCTTCTTCCTATTCCTCTTACTATTATCTTCGCATTCTTCCTCCCCCATCTCTCTCTCCTCTACATCCTCCACCGCTTTCCTCTTGTTCACCTTCCGCTTCTCTCCACCACTCTCCTCTCCCTCCCGATTCTGCAGCTCTTCTTCTTCTTCGTAATCCTCCCCGAGCAGCATTTTCTTTGGTTTCTGAGAATTCTGCCGCGACAGCGGCGGCGCTGCTTCACCCTCGTCGTCGCTTGTTGCTATCTGTCTGAACAGCCTGATACCATTAGCCATTGATATCTGCGTGTCCGCTAGAAATAGCACAGGAAATTCTCTAGCTTGCCATGTGGAGAATGGCGGTATTTACTACGCCTTTTTCATCAAAAACCTGCTGAAAAAAAAAAAAAAAAAAAAAAAAAAAAAAAATGTACGGACTATACAGTATCTTTTAGCTTACCTATAGCTTCCCAACTAATTTTATTTGACAATTTCTAGTTAGAAATTTGGTTGGAAAAGTATACAATTGTTAAGAGTATAATACATATATTCTCACTTTCTACTCTATTTTTTTACTTTCTATTGAGGTGTCATCATTTGATTGATTTAAATAACAAAGTGGATCACCGTTTTTATTAATTCACTTTTATTTACCCAATAAAATTTATACACGTTGCGAGAGTTATACTCTACAGAAATGCATATATCATTTTCCATTTTTTAATAACAAGAGAAATTTGCAATCATTATTCTAGTTTATGTATTTGATTGAGAAGGTGTTTGTCAGAATTAAATTCATGACCTTTTAATATAATAATTATATTTTATGAGACTTTTTGGTACAAAAATTTCATCTATTCACTCCCTCTTTTCGAGGCAACTTAGGTTGTCCTCATTCCAGAAAGATGAGCTCTTGTTTGTTGACCATAATTCGTGAGTTCAGTTACCGTAGGGAATATATCGTGAATATCTATAAAAAAAAAAAAATTATGCTTGTTTCTTTCTCTTGTTTAAGGCAAGCCGTAAATTTTGAATATTGTAGTCTTTTACAATGAAAGAAGTTGAGACAAAGTTGTTAATAATAGATTACTTAGAGAAATAGGTAAAAGAAATTTCCATCCAAGATTTAATAGTTGGTCCATTCTGAGCCTTGGTAAAGTCCATCTTGTTGCAATAGAAATGAACAAGAACGAAAAGGTTTTAGCTAATGTAATAACAATACTTACTATTGTTCCAAAGACTTTACCCCTTTTAGTTATGTCAAAAAGCTCAGGAACAAATATGTATGGAATAGAAAGATTCTAACCCCCTAAGTAAAGAATTGTTACAAATAATGAAGAAATTAGTAGATTCATATATGAAGCAACGTAAAATAAACCAAATTTGATGCCTGAATATTCGATTTGATACCCCGCTACTAATTTTTCTTCTGCTCCTGGTAAATCAAAAGGTAATCGCTCGCATTTGGCTAAAGAAGAAATTATAAAAATGATAAATTCTATCAAGATTAGAACTAATAGTGATTTGTGCTCAATTTTTTAGGAAAATATAACTTATGTGGAGAGAGAAAATGTGGGGGCTTCCTGCAATATGTTGGTTTTTGTGGGTCTCGCAAGAGAGAAAGTGAAGAAGAGAGGCACAACGGGAGCGTTTTGTGCATGTACAAGTATACAGATACAGCGCCCAGCCGGACGCGTGCATACCTGTTTTTTTTTTTTCTTTTCTTTTTGTGTCTGACCTACTTTTTTCCCCTCTTTTTCCTTTTTATCCAATGTCGCTTGAAAGCTTGTTATTTTTTTATTTTTTTTTTATAAATTTTAGCAAGTTTTCTGCCAACAAAAGGTTGCCATCAAAGACAATCTTTTGACTATTTTTTTTGTTATTTTATTATTATATTTGTAATATAATATAAAAGTAGATCATTTTTAAGAGTAAGAAAGTATTGGATGGATATAGAAAAATTAGAGAAGAATTACAAATTTGATAATTGTAAAAGTGAAAGAATATTGCAGGATAGCATTAAGCAAGTATAAAATTTATTGGAATAAAGTCCAAATTGGCCACTGAACGTAATTTGAAAATGCAATTAGGCCACTTAATGAAAAAAAAAAAGTACAATTGAACCATTGAACACTCTAAATGTGTGCAATTTCAGCTGATAGCAGGTTACCATCAATTTCAATAGGTTACCTGCTTACGTGGAAGGTGAGTTGACATTTTAAATAACTTTTAATAATAAACTATAAAATAAAAATAAAAATAATATTAAAAAAATTACAAAAATTACAAAAAAAAAAAAAAAAAAAAAAAAAAAAAAAAAAAACATCTTCGGGGTGGCCGCCTCCTCCTTCGTCTCCAACCAGAGACGAAGAGATCTCTTCGTCTCTGGTTGGAGACGAAGTGATCTGTCTTTGCCTCCAACCGGAGACGAAGAGCATGTCTTCGCCTCCGACTGGAGACAAAGGGCATGTCTTCGTCCCCGCGCGTAGACAAAAGAAGGGGGAAGGGGGTGGCTTGAGACAGGTTCTTCGTCTCACGACATCCTCTTGGAGAAGGGGTGGTTGGCGGCCACCCCAATGTTTATTATTATTATTTTTTAAAGTTTAATTTAATTAAAATTTAATTTGTATTTTAAAGTTTATTATTAAAAATTATTTAAAATTCCAACTCACCTTCCCTGTAAGTAGGCAACTTGTTGAAATTGATGATAACCTGTTATCAGGTGAAATTGTACACATTTGGGGTGTTCAGTGATTTAATTGCACTTTTTTTTTTTTTTTCGTTCAGTGGCTTAATTGCACTTTCAGGTTATGTTTAGTGGCCAATTTGAACCTTATTCCAAATTTATTTGATGGTCTGTGTGTTTACATACCAAATCCTAACTAAAAATGTAAGTTAATACTTAATGTACATATCTCTATCTTTTGTATTATATTATAGAGTACTTAATAATTATTAAGTGCGGGGTATGCATTTAGATAACTCATAGACAAGCAACAATGAACAATGCAATGTTGAGTATTTGACAGACCTGGAACCCAAACTTTTGTGGTCATGGTGTTTTTACATTTCTTGTTCTTTATATGGAATTTTTTATACTGAGATCAACAACTGCAATATACTGAAATACAATTGCAATGAATGTTCATTACTATAGTGTTAATTTTGTTTGAAATGAATATTATTATCATAGGCGCTACTCAGCAGTCGAAGTAGTCTCCGGCATGGGCAGAGGCTTGCAACGGAGATTGGGAGATTATGTACTGGCGAAACAGAGTTATGGAGAACGTCCATGGCGGCCTGGGAGTGGTCAATGGTAAAAAAGAAAATATAATAAAAAACATATTCCTGAGAACTCAGGAATAGGTTAATACCAATGTGTCAATAATAGCTATTCCCCCATCAGAGGGAATGATCCATTCCCAAGAACATTGTTCCTGGGAATATAAGTGGTTACCAAACAGAGGAATAGGTCCATTACTGAAAATGCTATGTCATTCCAAATCTATTCCGTGAACCAAACAGCCAATAAGTTCAACCAATTTTGCGCATTAAAAATCTCAAACCATCACGCAATACAATTATTATTGACCATACTAACTACTTGCAAAACTCAATTCACGAGAATTGTCTCGTGATTTTTTTAATAGTTTCTTTTTAATTTAAATCTTTTTAAACAAACATAAATGAATATATTTAAAATAAACTCCTAATCACGATATATTTTCCTCCCTCGATCTCCCCATCATGAATCAATCATTATATCTTGGGCTACTAATAATCCTATCCCCTGAAACTGAAAATTCAACTGCTTTCTCTCCCTTTTTCGTCTGCTCCCACGAATTAAAAGCCTGGTCCGGCGACTTGGTGCTGCCGGCTAACGCTCTAATGGAAGGTTGAGCCGGTGGTGCCATTAGTAGACTCCATCATCTGGCTGTTTTAGGAATATGTGTTAAATCTCAGATCATCTCCAATCGTTCTTCAAAGGCTTCAGAGACTCTACAGATCTGTGAAGAAGCACTGAGTTCATCTAACAACTTTGGCTTCAAATTTGTAAAACAGTGTGCGATCCAAATTTTCTATAACATTGCTAGGAAATTTGTTTCTATATCTAATTGTAAAGAATGCATTACCATTCTAACAATCTGTATTGTAAACATATCTACCTATGAATTAACCTTTTATTTTCAAAAATAAAATAAAATAATAAACATGTTTATGTTTATTTCTTAATAGCAGCACCATCATTTTTGCATTTGAATACAAAAATAAAAGACCCAAAAATAAACACAAACAAATAAAAGGAATATTTCATTAGCCCAAGATAACACCCCATAGAAGTGTGTTTTTAGACAATGCAAGCAAAAAATAAAAATATTATATTCAGTAATTTCTTTGCTGCCATTATAACCAGCAAATGTTATATGAATGAAAAAATATGATGAATCAGTTGCCCAGCTTACAGAAAAAATGGGACTGATATATTTGAGAACTGTGTGCTTTTATCCTGCCCACTGCTCTCAGCCATTTCCTTCAAAGTAACCCAAGATTTTCTCTTTCTCTTGTTAGATGTGCAAATGGCTTGATCGTCTTGATCGATATCCGTGGCAGTCGAAATACTTTCAGATTCAACAGGTTTCTTTAATCCTGACTTATTCCTTCTCTTTCTCTTCGAGTCCAACAAGGAAATGTCCATTCTCAGTGATGGAGTTGAAGGCTCGTCTGCTGGCAGCGCAATATGATCACCCTGGACAATCTCCGGTGAAGTCACTATATCTATTTTGCTGTCCTTATTGTTACTTGCTGCGACTGTCATTGGTTCAGAAGACTTGGTAGTTGAGGATTTAGGATGCTCGACTTTTGTAGATGGTTTGTCCTTTGGTGGGCATGTCATTGGTTCAGAAGACTTGGTAGTTGAGGTTTTAGGATGTTTTACTTTTGTAGATGGTCTGTCCTTTGGTGGGCATATCTGCTTCAAATAGCCTCTAGGAGTTCCTCTCTTTAGATTTCGATGCGAACAAAACTGGCAATTATAGACAACATAATTCTGTGGGCTGTTTCTGGGTTTCTTGTTCCTGCGTCGTGCCTTTGCATTATTCTTCTCAACTCGAACAGTACAGTTATAGCCTGGTTGAAGAACAGATTCACATCTGGGGAAGATTGCACATAAACAAATCTTTTTCAGCCTTTAAGTCGTGAAACAAGTATAGAAGTTTTGGAATCAAAAGGTATCATAGTAATAGCAAAATAAAGAAATATTTGAATGGAACATTTGGATCAGTAAGTAGTAACAAACAATCAAAATCACCAAAAATTTCTCTACTCATCATGATATTAACAATTATACCAGAAGCCTTCAGTAAAACTAAAGGGCACCCAATAGAAGGCTATATGATAAGCTCTTCACGAGAAATATTGTAAACAAGAAAAAAAAAATAGTGCTACTCCAAGATTAGAACTAAATAAAGGGATCACACTAAACTTTTTTGTTCAAACCAAAAAAATTTAGCAAACAAGATTATTGCAGATGAATATAGATTTAAAGAAGGTTAAAAAATGAAAACTATTTGAAATAAGGGGGTAAACAAGACGAAACCTTTGGCAAGAGAACAAAGACGGCTCAGGAGGCAATCCCAATGCCTCAGAGGATGCAGCTAAACGATTGCCAAAAAAGGCGCCCAATGAGGGTATGGACGCTTCACCACTAGCCCAAACTGCGAGATTCTTCATATGCTCCAGTTTCAGCATCGACTTGGCATTAATGTGACTCTGTTTATTCCCCTTCGGCTTTTGTCGTGGTGTAATTGACCCCAAGGTCACACTGCCACTGCCTCCTGCTTTAAGTTCTTTCTTGCCCATCTCTTGGTTGCCGCTGCAATGCCTTTCACACGAATTTCACCTGACAGCTGAATGGAATTTGTAATCTGGACAACTGGTGAAGGGTGATATGAAGTATCAATGCTCTCAAATTCTAAACAGCATCCCTGATTGTCTAATGATTTGTTGAAGCTCTAAAGTGGGTGGGTCTATGTTGTTAAATTATCAGTATTGCCTCTGCAATAGTCTCGTTTCTTGAATAAAACTTGGCACGCCTAGAAACAAGAGGCTTGGTAATCCTACAAAGTAAAAATCATTTAAATAAAGAAAAAAAAAATCATAATTTAAGAAATCAGAAATATGGGAGGAATGAAAGACTAAAGAGGTTGACATCTAGGCTGATCAGTCAATGTTTAGATAATCTAAAACTGCGTAATTTCACATAACTTAAGCAATTGAGAGAGAGATTTTTATGAATGTGACAACAAATGAATTAAAAATTTTAGTTTTATCAAAACGGGCCGGATACCAATTCCTTCTTCAAGTAATTCAACGGTTTGCAATTCCAAACAGGAAAAATTCAATCAATCAAGACAATTAGTTGTAAAATTGGTATGATATACACATCATCTTTGACAGCAAGAGCTGTTGATACCAGCAAGAACCCATTTCGCCAAATAATACAAATTCCTTCACCACTTTTGCTCCCTGATTATCAAATGGAATTGCAAAGCTCCTAAACAATGCTATTTCAAAACTTATTCACCAATCACCAATACTTAGCTGGACTCAGCATTTAACTATCAAATTGAGTGTTTAAAAAGCTTAAAGAAGTTAAGTTTATGCAAGGAGATATTTATAATTTAAATGCCAAAAGATATACTAGTAGCTTTATTAGTAAGTACATAAATAACCACCTAGCACTTTGATATGTCTGAAAGAGATTGTCCGATTGACTTAGAGCATTCTATTGTGCAATACTTGTGACTCCATGATTAACAAATTATTCCACAATTAATAATAATAATTAAAAATTCTATAGAGCAATACTTGAAACTCCAGGACTAATTTTCTCATACACAATAACTCCTTGGGTTATTTCTCAAAAATTTTCATAAAAATATTAATGAACAATTAAAGAAAATTTAAAAATTTTCAAACCTAATAACAAACTGTCTAGACTCCCGAATTAATTTTCAAACACTAACAACAGAGTCCAGCGAGTACGATACAATTTAATTTTGTATGAAATATGTAAAAATTTAATTTATGAAATCCAGCAAGTGCGATCCGAATGGACTGGAAGCACTGTTCTGGGACAACATGAAAAACATCAAAACACCGACGACCGGACAAAGAATCATTCCCCTAGCCGACGAGGACCATTGTGAACCGCCGTAAGCATCGCCACTTATAATGAAACAATGAGGAGAGAGAGAACTCAACTCACCGTCGCCTTGAAGGAAAACCACAATCACCAGTCGGCCCTCCGCGAAATCGAAGCCTTGCAGACCCTCCAGAACTGCCCAAACGTTGTCGTAATGCACGAGTTCTTTGGAGCGAGGACGACGACTCTGTGCTGGTCCTGGAGTTCCTCCCTACTGACAACATGAAAAACACCAAAATTGAGGACACACACGTCCATTGTCTTCCATTAATAACCAACTAGGTTTGAGTCACGTTCATTCTTACCTGGGACGACATCCAAAGGCTCAAGAATCACATCCTCGTGCACCGACCGGAAATGGACAACATCGACGATGAAGAAGACGGAAAATTTGGGATTAGGGATTAGTTTAGGGTTTTATTTATTTATTTTACTTATTTAGTTTTAATAATAATATATATTAAATATATTTTAATTGTAGTCCACATCATTATAGGTAATTTCTTTTCAAATCCACGTGACTGCTATATCAACATTAACATGAAGGTTACAGGTAAAATAGGTAAATTGTATTAATATAACAAGTTAAAAGGTTTAATTAAAACATTTTATATATTGAAGGTCCAATTACTTTTTTTTGTTATACTTTAAGGACCTATTTAACCCTTATCTCAATTTTAAAATTTTTTATATATTGAAGGTCCAATTACTTTTTTTTTGTTATACTTTAACGGCCTATTTGACCCTTATCTCAATTTTAAAATTAAAATTGACTTAAGAAGTTAACTTTAGGTCCCTATCAGTATCAGACTGCCGAACCCGCCCTCCTCTCCTCTCTCATTCTACTCCGTGAGGCGACTACCGACCCCGCCCTCCTCTCCTCTGCCGTCGCCAACGACGCCAAGTCGCTCGCTCGCCGTCTGCTCACCTGCTCGTCGATCGTTGCTGGTCGTGTGCGGTGTGCCAGGTCCGTCTGTTTGTCTCTGGCTGGTCGACCGTCCACAGTCCACTACTCCGTCTGTAGGTAATCTTCTGGATCTGGTCGTCTGCCTTACTACGTAGGTCGTTTGATAGTTTCTTCTAGTAGTTAATCTTCAGTATGTAATCTTCTAATTAGTTTAATTAGTTTCTTCTGTAGTTAATCTTCTAATAATCTGTGTTTCTTCTGTAGTTAATCTTCTAATAATCTGTGTTTCTTCTGTAGTTAATCTTCTAATAATCTGTAGTTCATCTGTAGGTAATCTGTAGTTAATCTTTTAATTAGTTTCTTCTGTAGGTAATTAGAAGATTAATTTGTAAGTAATTTCATTAATCTTCTAATAATCTGTAGTTAATCTTCTGCCACTTCCTAGTTAATGTTGCTTGTTTCAACTTTCAAGTATAATAATTTCTGTAGTTAATAAGTTCAAAGTATAATAATTTTGAATACTAGCTCTATTACATTGTAACGCCTCCATTGAGGCTTGAACTCACAACCTTCCTAATGGAAGTCCAACCCGGGTACCATTGGACCTTCCTAAAAGTTGTTTATTCAATTAAACTTACAGTACTTGAAGAAATAAACACCAAAATTTGATGAACTCCCTGAATTTTACAAAGAAATAAACACCAAAATTACAATACCACTCAGGAAGCATTTTACATGCATTCATATAGGATTCAGAGTTAACATAATTTCAAAAACTCTCTCTCTCTCCCACATACACACACACACACAAATATACAGTAATACAAATAACTTCATAACAAATTAAACTTCAAATACTTACTACCTTATCTCCTTTGAAATGTAAGTAGGCAAGTAGCTATAGCATATAGGATGAAAGATTCATCCTTTCAAATTTTGCACACAAACACACTGTTTAGCTCCTATATAAGAACATATTTAGAAAAAAAAAAAAAAAAAACTAAAGGGGCTAAACTACGGTATTAAATATTCTGGAAAAAAAAAATGTAACAGAGTTTTTATAATTTTGCTCAAATTTTTTATAATAAATATATAACTAAAGAAGTAACAAATTTTCAAAAAAAAAATGTTAAAAATAACTTTTCTGAAAATAAAATAAAATAAACTCCACAATATATGAAGATCTAATTTTTAAATACAAAAAAAAAAAACTATAGAATTATTCAGCAAAAAATCGAAGAATAAAAAAAGGTAATGAAATCAAATGTTACTGTTGTTACCCATTAAATTTTCTAAGCTGGAGGATTTGACGATTTGACGAGCCATTGAGTAGCATACCGGCGGACAACGGTCACAAGTCGAAGCCTTGGAAGAGATCTAGGGTTTCCTGAGTAAAGAGTTGAGAGATAATGAGTGATTGAGAAGAGAGAGGCAACTCAAAGCTCAAGCGAGAAAGTTCGAAATTATGAGTCTCTGAAACTCTAAAAGTGAGAGGTTAGAGGAGACTCACCAGGTTGAGCAACGATTTGACGAAGGTGTAGGAGAGACTCGAGAGACGAGATGACAGAGCCGGAGAAGAAGTCACGGAGAGGTTGGGAAACTGCGAGAAGAGTGAGAGGCAGAGCCGTAGAGAGGCGGAACGGAGGCGGGGTTGAGTGGTTGAGAGATGGAGAGATTTTGTGGGGTGAGAATGGTAGAAAAGCTCTGAGAGAGAGAGTGAAAATTTGAGAGGGGTGAGCGGCGGAAACAATGAATGAGAAAGATCTGATATGAAAGACGGAACCCTAAACATACTTTACATATATATATGTGAGTTCGGGTTTCGGGTCGGGGACGGGGAATGTGGAAACATTTCGGGGACGGGGACCCCATTCCTTGCCCCCGCCCTGTTGCCATCCCTATCTACATTGATAATGGATGATTGTAGATAATTGAAAAACAAAATTATACCATCCAGGAATTACTCATCCACAAATTTTGACAAATTCCCACCAATAACATTACTGTTTTTCTGTCACTTTTTCAAGATTGACAACACATTCTAGCGTTCTTTGAACTCTGAGTTGATGAAAATTCATCAAGAAGAGACCTTTTAATTGATGTGCTCTCATTCCCACTCAAAAAATTGCTTCCAGCAACCTATTATGGAAAAACATCCAAGAATTACCCATCAAAATGCATAATGAAAAAATAAAGTATTCCATACAGGAATTACTCATCAAAAAAATTTCCAACATACAGGAATTACTGTTTTTCTCACTTTTTCAAGCTTGAAAACACATTCTTCCTTTCTTTGAACTCTGAGTTGATGAAAATTAATCAAAAAGAGACCTTTTAATTGATGTGCCATCATTCGCACTCACACAATTGCTTCCAGCAACCTATTATGCAAAAAATTAAAAAAAAAAACATAGCTCCTGATCATGAATATAAAACCATGCATTAAAATTATAAACAAAACACATTATTGAAGAAGTGGGGGCTTCCTGCAATATGTTGGTTTTTGTGGGTCTCGCAAGAGAGAAAGTGAAGAAGATTAACTACAGATTATTAGAAGATTAATGAAATTACTTACAAATTAATCTTCTAATTACCTACAGAAGAAACTAATTAAAAGATTAACTACAGATTACCTACAGATGAACTACAGATTATTAGAAGATTAACTACAGAAGAAACACAGATTATTAGAAGATTAACTACAGAAGAAACACAGATTATTAGAAGATTAACTACAGAAGAAACTAATTAAACTAATTAGAAGATTACATACTGAAGATTAACTACTAGAAGAAACTATCAAACGACCTACGTAGTAAGGCAGACGACCAGATCCAGAAGATTACCTACAGACGGAGTAGTGGACTGTGGACGGTCGACCAGCCAGAGACAAACAGACGGACCTGGCACACCGCACACGACCAGCAACGATCGACGAGCAGGTGAGCAGACGGCGAGCGAGCGACTTGGCGTCGTTGGCGACGGCAGAGGAGAGGAGGGCGGGGTCGGTAGTCGCCTCACGGAGTAGAATGAGAGAGGAGAGGAGGGCGGGTTCGGCAGTCTGATACTGATAGGGACCTAAAGTTAACTTCTTAAGTCAATTTTAATTTTAAAATTGAGATAAGGGTCAAATAGGCCGTTAAAGTATAACAAAAAAAAAGTAATTGGACCTTCAATATATAAAAAATTTTAAAATTGAGATAAGGGTTAAATAGGTCCTTAAAGTATAACAAAAAAAAGTAATTGGACCTTCAATATATAAAATGTTTTAATTAAACCTTTTAACTTGTTATATTAATACAATTTACCTATTTTACCTGTAACCTTCATGTTAATGTTGATATAGCAGTCACGTGGATTTGAAAAGAAATTACCTATAATGATGTGGACTACATTTAAAATATATTTAATATATATTATTATTAAAACTAAATAAGTAAAATAAATAAATAAAACCCTAAACTAATCCCTAATCCCAAATTTTCCGTCTTCTTCATCGTCGATGTTGTCCATTTCCGGTCGGTGCACGAGGATGTGATTCTTGAGCCTTTGGATGTCGTCCCAGGTAAGAATGAACGTGACTCAAACCTAGTTGGTTATTAATGGAAGACAATGGACGTGTGTGTCCTCAATTTTGGTGTTTTTCATGTTGTCAGTAGGGAGGAACTCCAGGACCAGCACAGAGTCGTCGTCCTCGCTCCAAAGAACTCGTGCATTACGACAACGTTTGGGCAGTTCTGGAGGGTCTGCAAGGCTTCGATTTCGCGGAGGGCCGACTGGTGATTGTGGTTTTCCTTCAAGGCGACGGTGAGTTGAGTTCTCTCTCTCCTCATTGTTTCATTATAAGTGGCGATGCTTACGGCGGTTCACAATGGTCCTCGTCGGCTAGGGGAATGATTCTTTGTCCGGTCGTCGGTGTTTTGATGTTTTTCATGTTGTCCCAGAACAGTGCTTCCAGTCCATTCGGATCTCTGATCAATGCTTTGTCGTATGACGACAGAAATTCAGGTTGTAACGACACAGAAGATGTTTTCTTGTCGCCGAGACTAGAGAAGATTCCCAGGCCTTCATGAAACCGAAGGTGCTACTAGTGTCGCCGGTAGCATGATGGTTGGTCACGCCGATGCAAATCCTGACGTCCGGGAATAGCGTCACTTGTAGCGCAAACACGAGAGCTACGGCGGAACAGCCCGGTGCACGTGAAGTCGGCGGTAAGGCCAGAACAAGAGGATTACACGTTGTTATAGGTAGGTTTTTTTTTTTTTTTTTTTTTTTTTTTTTTTTTAAGTCCACGTAGCTGCTATGTCAGCATTAACCTGAAGGTTACAGGTAAAATGGTTTAATTGCACTAATATGACAAGTTAAAGGGTTCAATTGGAGCTTTTTATAGATTGAGGGTCTAATTGCTCTTTTGGTTATACTTTGAGGGCTTATTTGATCCTTATCCCTTTAAAATTTTACTAGTATTTGCACCCATGCGATGCACGAAATATATTTGTTATAATATATGAATTATAATTTGCTTCATATTAGATAGTGTAAATTTTGACGTTGAATTAAGGTTTGTATGAATGTTTCGAAATTGAATTAATTGGTCTCACTATCTTTATGTGTAGTAATTTAATTATAGAAATTTTTGTAACATAATATATATGTAATATGTAGATATGTAACAATTTTATTATATTGGTGCACACAGAATAGATAATATAACTGTATGGAATTACAGATTGTTGAAAACCTCTTTGTAGACGACATTAGTAGTAGTAACAGAAGTTTGTCCATCCTCGTCTAGAGCTAAAACCTTAAGGCCATCAGGATGAGTGACTCGGGAAAAAACCACGTACAATTAACCGTAATTATAGACTGGTTTTTTCAACAATAAGCCAACCTGAGTTAGTGTTCGACCCTAGTTTTTGTTGATAGTCACTGCATATGCTAGCATCAACGGGAATTATTTACGCTGGAACTTGAATGACAATCTCGTATCAGAAGGGGTGAGAGACATTCGTGGTATAAGAACTTTGGTTCCTTGCTGCGTTCCATTAATTATTCTTGCTTCGACAATATGATCCACCAATCTTGTAATGATGAGGCCGTACCGTTACAAAGACCAAGAGAGTGGTCTATGTTCCGCAGTAACATAACAGGTGCACCAACCTTTATTGTTAATGAATGATTTAGGAAGTCCATACAATCTCAAGCTATTTAAAAATTCAGGAGTATGTACTTGTGAGAGATTATCACCATCTGATTCTGCCTTACACAAAGAGTCACAGCTTAAATACGTCTGGCCTTCTGCAGTGTTCATGTCACACATATACTGATTAATTTGATCAACAACATCTAAACTCGGTGAGAGGATCGCTCGTCCTTCTAGGTGCGACTCTTCTAGCATTCCATAAACTTTGGTGGAATATCGATCTCAAACAAACCATTGTTTACAAACCCTATAATCTCATCTCCGATGTCTGCAGTCCATCTTGAGAACCAATCAACCGTCTGTCTATCTTCATTTGAAGCTAAGCTCTGTAATCTCAAGTTCTTCATGAGCCTCAATACCTTACAATTCCCCCAGAGGTATGAAGAATTAATAGTGGCTCCTACAATCATTGGTCTTGTTACTTTTGGAATTTTAGGGAATTTTTTTTCTTTTAATATTCCAAAAAATAAAAGGAACTGAAGGAGCCTGATTTAGGTGTTTATTGAAAACTTATTTGCTATATATGATTGGATTGTGCACCAGTTTTGTTGAAAGTTCAACCTGAAATTTAGATAAGATCAAAACTTGGAAGGCTAATAATGAAACTCATCAGTACTTCATTCTTGTGTTTCTTCATTCTTATTGCAGCTCTTTGAAAACATTAACTCAACTCTGATGTTATTTTTCAATGGGATTCAAACTCGTAACCTTTTTTTTTTTTTTTTTTTTTGAGGAAGATAGAAAGTAAAAAATTGTTAAGGGATAGTTTATTAATGGAGGGATACATATGTGGTTTGGTGCTACATTATAATGAAGGGAAGGGAAGTCAACTTACTGGGCATTTGCCAGCTGTGTTGTGAATAAGAACAGCTACTTAAATGTGTTACTTTATTGCCTTGGAGACCTTAATTTCTTGGTTTCAGTTGGTGTTTAATAATGGCCTGCAGATATTCAATTCTTTTCTGATCTGCTAAATCTATATTCATATGTAATGGCTTCCAGACCACCAGAGATTTTGTCAATAAAGATTGTCTTGAAATGGCATAGGTATCATGTATTGTGTAACCTCAAAAGAACTCATCAACACACACGTCGATAAAACATAAAATTTTTACAAGGAAAAAAGAAGAAGAAAAAGAGGGATTTCTGTGTTGTTGTTTGAATTGAAGTGTATCTACCACTGTAACATGGCAATATATATATATATATATATATATATATATATATATATATATATATATATATATGAGATTTCACTATTCCAGTTTTTGTGTGCTTACTTGCTGGGAGGGTGATATTTACTTCGCTTCTTAATTCTGATCAGATCCCACCAAGCGAATTGAAATGATCCCATGCTTCCTGGTTGAAATAACGTATGTATGTATGTATGTATTGCAGATGTACAGCAAAAAGGGACTACTACGGTGGTGATATGATATATGTTATGTTGTGCTTACCTGTAGAATGTCAAAGACTTTCTCTGCAATGTATTTTTGATGAGAAGCGACTCCTTTTTGTTGGAGCTTATAGGGTGCAAATACTGCATGGCTTTCTGGTATGCTCTCTTCACTGCACTTCCTTCTATCAAGTCCACCAGAGGCACGGGCTTCCATCCGCTCTTGGGCCAAATAACCTTTTTTTTTTTTTTTTTTTTTTTTTTTTGTGCAAATCAGAGCTGATTACAGTTATGTTCGAATGATATCGATCCAAATGTCAAAGTGGAGAAAGAATTACTAATTGTAAGGTCGAAAGTAATGACCAAATATTTCGTTTCCTCCCCTGTGACCACTGCTGAATCGTTGCATCTGAAGCCTGCATTGAAGTTAGTTGCAGGCAGGCAGTTATTTACGGTCACAATTAAGGCTTTCGCCTGTAATTTCAACTCGATTAGTTCAGATATTACAAAGAATAGGAGTTACTTTCATGTACTGAGATTCACCACCCTTCTGTAATGGTTTGCTCTCATCTTCATCCTTCTTTCCTGAGGACTTGCATTTTCATGATGAGGTACAAATTGCTTATCTTACATTAGTAAAGTAATTTGTTTGATTTGAATTTTTGAATGCACTCTACACAACATTACTCATAACCTTTTGGTTACATCTCTACCTCAAACTTGAAAAGTGACTATTATTTGTTTTACCTTCATGTTATCTTTCATAAATGATTTTATTTTTCAACAGAGCCAGAATGAGTTTTGGAAGTCAAATAGTCTGCATAATTTCAATGGTGAGTAGTAAATACCTTTGATTTGTAGTCCCAACTATCTTGATTTGACATGCATATTTTCCTTTAATTGTGCTTCTCATATGCAGTTTTGTTTGCTAAGTAAAAGCATTACTTTAATAGTGCACTAATAAATACCTTTTATTAATAGCCCCAACTCATGAATGGTGTATCCTTTCATTGAAATGTTACCGCAGATATGGTTGATGAGAGTCCATAATCATTAACCATATTTAAAGTCTTAGGCTTCTTTAAAGTCTTTGAAAATGATGAACAATCGATATTTATTCTCTTCAAAGACTGCTGCTCAGGAGTGCTTTCATCAAGAGAGATTAATTTTGGATTAGATAATGATATAGCTTGCAGTGGTTCAATCCCCTGGTTGGAAAACAATTAAAAACATTAGCATTAAAAACATTTAAAACACTGTATAAAAATATGTTAAGATAGTACAAACTTGTTCAAAATTTTCATTGAACTCTTTTTCATCAGCAAGCTTCCTTAACCACACTTCCTTGTTCTCCTTTATTGACTGAAGTACATACTCTCTCATCATTTTCCACTCCTAGAACAGTAAAAACAACATTTCCTCTATAATTGAATTGTTCCTATCATGTGACTATCTTGAATTTCATTCTCTTTCCAATCAATTCTTGAATCTCATTGGGCATACAACCCTCCTATGTGAATCAAATAAACATTAAAGTAGAAATTATAAAACTGGTAAAATTATTACCATTGTAAAAAAACAAAGTGGTGATTTCACTAACCTTAGAATATTTCACCTTCAACTCGCTAGCAGTGACTCCTAGTAGAGGCGTACACACATTATCCCAAAGTATTAGTTCACTATCTTGATCATCATCAAGGATATCAATCACCAATTTATATTTTATGATTCCATCTGGCCACTTTTTGTTACATGGCTTACAATACATTTTGTCCTCACTTTGTTGAAGTTTCTTCCCACAGTTCTTATTCCTACATGAAGTGAAATACCAATCCTGCTGAATATCACGAATTTCTCCAAATACCCAAAATTGTCCAACCTACAAATTTTATTTCAAACACGTCTAATCATATGTTGAACGTTAAAAGGAATCATTTAAATATTTAGTATAAATGATTATGACCTTCTTTTCGTCATGAATATCCTTTAAAGAACTAACTGTGATATTCTGAATTGACATAGCTCCAACAGAACCGCTTCCAATGAGTCTAGAACTTGAACTTATACTCCGCATAGGATCGGAGTAAAGAACCTAGGAAAACTATTTAAAACAAATATGTTGTAATCGTTGAAGATGTTATCGGTTACATATTATATGGCGTTACAAAAGTGAAATGTGTCAATACCTTTCCTTAAAACTGAAAAACTCAAGGCATTCGTAATTGAACAAAATCTTAGTTGCCGTATAGGAACTGGAAATCTTGACCTCACCATCTAATATAAAAAACAGTTTTAAATAAGTATATTTGACAAAAAAAAAAATCTACCGTTGTGTTATTACTCACCATCAGTCACCCTTTCTCTACATAGTTGTAGTATAACAATCAATGGATCTGTTAAAACAACATCATAGAACGACAACACCGAATCCACATGCTCGTCCCACAGAGTTACCCTCAATCGACTTTCTCTGAATTAACAGAAATTGATTTCGTAATAAAGGGTATATATTTATTTCTACAAATAAAGAAGACATAACAATTATACAAAAATACATACCTACAATCCTCAATGACGAAATCAATCAACCTTTGAGGTTTTTTATTAACTTGAATAACATTAAGCTCATAAATCGAAACTACACGGCCAATCAAATCTGTGGAAACAAATATAATCGAAATATTGAAAAAAGAAATGACATAGACTAATATGAAAGAGTAATAAAAATAACAATATGTATAAAAGTTATTGCAATGATCTTACCAATTAATTCGTTACAATCAACACCTCCTGGAGCCTTCAAGGACCCAAAGTCCTTAAATTTAAACATGTTTTTAGGAAAAATTGAATCATCTTGATCCGAGATTTTAATCATTGTGTCACTATTTGCTCTCATAATGAATTTGTGCTAGCACGTCTTAAACCTCAAGCGAGCTGTGTGCACAATGAAATTCTGAATGACATACACTTTCCCTTCGATCAAAACAGTAGCAAATTTGTCCACATATTCTTTTGGAATTTGTAGATGTATGCATATTCCCTACGGGAAGCATTGATTAATTACAATTGATAAATAGATATTGAATAAAAGAGAAAATTATGGTGTAAATAAATTATAAATTCAATACATACCTTATAATCATGGAATAAGCATTCCAAAGTTTGGTGGTTCAATGGCGTGCACTGATATTCTTTAGAAATATAGAACCACATTAACCTAATGTATATAGATGTTTTTGTAGTTCTAAGAGAGAGATCAGATGCAGAAAGCTGATTAGAATACATGGGAATTCAACCGTACGATGCAGTATTGTGTATTGATTTTATATGTAGGTAGATGAAGAAAACATAGTATTGAGTATTGTGTTTGTGTACTGATTTGATAAGAAACTCTGACCAAAAGATGTAGCATATATATATATATATATATATATATATATATATATATATATAACAATGTACACGGTTTAGTAAGAAAGTAAGGGAAGAAATCAGAATCAGAATAATATTATTGAATAAAGGGAAGAATTTACACCGATTTTTAATACACGGTAAACCTGATTCTTAGGAGGATTTGAAATTGCAAATTAGTAAAAATCTATACACGGTGATTACCATATTTAATAATCTATATATTATAAACTAATTAATTAATTAATTACCTCAATATTTCGTCTTTCCAAGACTATGTGGTTTAATGGTACCCGGGTTGGACTTTCATTTGGAAGATTGTGAGTTAGAGCCTCAGTGGAGGCTTTATTGTATATGAACATATACTACATTGTAATAGAGCCAGTAGCATTCAAAAAATTAGTCACACATGGAATATTTATGAAATATATATAGAGTATAATTATATACACACAATTATGAATATATAATTTCTATAATTAATTTAATTTTATAATATTCTTTCTTTCCATAACTAATTAGTCAAACACAGAATATTTATGAAATATATATAGAGTAATTATATACACACGGATTTGAATATATAATTTATATAATTAATTAAATTTTAGTCAACTAAACTTCGCACAGAATAAATTTTATAAACTAATTAATTAATTAATTACCATAAACGAATACATAATATGTATGGTAACGCGTTAAAATTGATTTTAGTCAATTGAGTAATTATTTTGAATTACACGGCTTAAAAATTAATAATCTGTACACGGTAATTACCATATTTAATTTTATTATTATTATTATAGTAATACATAATTTTCTATATCTCTTGCACGGAATATGTATGAAATATGTTAGGAATATTTCATTTTATAGATCGACGGATATGAATAATATATAATTAATAGATAATTACTATAATTAATTAAATTTAGATATTACGAAAATGTCTCTAAGTTTTGCTATAATTAATTAATTAATTACTTTAATATTCTGTGTTTCCATAACTAATTAGTCACACACAAAATATTTATGAAATATATATAGAGTATAATTATACACACACGATTATGAATATATATAATTTCTATAATTAATTTAATTTTATAATATTCTTTCTTTCCATAACTAATTAGTGAAACACAGAATATTTATGAAATGTATATATAGAGTAATTATATACATACGGTTATGAATATATAATTTCTATAATTAATTAAATTTTAGTCAACTAAACTTTACATAGAATAAATTTTATAAACTAATTAATTAATTACCATAAACAAATACGTAATATGTATGGTAACACGTTAAAATTGATTTTATTCAATTGAGTAATTAGTTTGAATTACACGACTTAAAAATTAATAATTTGTACACGGTAATTAGCATATTTAATTTAATTATTATAGTAATACATAATTTTCTATATCTCTTGCACGGAATATGTATGAAATATGTTAGGAATATTCCATTTTATACACACAAAATAAATTTTATAAACTAATTAATTAATTACCAAAAACGAATACGTAATATGTATGGTAACATGTTAAAATTGATTTTATTCAATTGAGTAATTAGTTTGAATTACACGGCTTAAAAATTAATAATCTGTACACGGTAATTACCATAGTTAATTTAATTATTATAGTAATACATAATTTTCTATATCTCTTGCACAGAATATGTATGAAATATGTTAGGAATATTCCATTTTATATATCGACGGAATAGAAATTTCATACTAAATAAATTGTAGGAGTAAAAATAATAACAAATAACATAACAAACATAAATTGTTGACATATTCGTCGTTATTCTTCTTTAAGCAGAATCCTCATTATTTCAATCCTCATTATCTAAATTTCCAACCGGAGGTTCAGGCACCTCTTCATCCAGAGAAACGTGAAAGTTAGAAAAATTGAAATACGTCAATAAAGTTATATATATATATATATATATATATATATATATATATATATATATATATATATATATATATATATATATATATATATATATATATATATATATATATATATATATATATATATATATATAAACAAAACAATGTAAGTAAGCAATAGACCACATCTTCAGCAAAATCATAATCTTCTCTGTCATAAACATGTGTTGGGAAATCTACATCTTTCAATACTCCTACAGAAGTTCTATCACAAAACATCAACATATGCCTGAGATTAGAAGTTTTGTTTCTATACTCATTAATTATAAACCACCCCAAATCTATTGATTCGATAAACTTTGCCTTCTTTAAATTTGTTGAACCACTTTTGAACATACAATCGTGGAATATGCATATGTATAAAAGTTCTCTGAAATTATTAAAAAAAAAACATATGCATCAACTAAAATTTTTTAGAAATACAAAATATAAAGATTAATATTACAGTAAAAAAAAAAAAAAAAAAACCTCTACATCATGTACTACACACTCTATAGATTTAATGGTTTGAGAACCTATTGTCCCTGGAAGACGAATGACACGAAACACTCTAAACCTGATGTTATTCCACTGTAGTCCTACACGAAGTTGATTACCAACAATCTCAGAGTGAAGTTCAGCTGCCATTGAGAATCAGTGTAAAAAGGAGACTACAAAAGAAGAAATACGTTTGTAGGTGACAACTTTGAGTTTAACAGAATAGTGGGTTTAGCAAATCCTTAATTATTACTATATTTAATTATTTAATTATTACACTACTACCTAATTTATAATCCATATATAAATTATTATTATTGATATATATTGTTATTGATATTATTATTAATATCAACATATACATCTATAATTTCGGAGGAAATTGTTAATAATATCACACGAAAATAATATATTTATTAATGACCTAATTATTCTTTCCATAAACAGAATATATATGAATTTACACACACAACTTAAGCACAAGACTCACACACCTTAAGCACAAAACTCATGCACTTTAGTTTCAACAACAACTCATACAACAACTCACATTAAGTACACACTCACACACATTAAACACAAAACTCACACACGTTAGGCACAACACTCACACACCTTACGTACAAGACTCACGCACATTAACATTACACACTCACGCACATTAATTAAGTACAAATCTCAGACACATTAAGCACAAGACTCACGCACATTGAGTACTGTTAGGACATAAATGTGTGGCTCAAAATCCATGAAGAATTAGTCTTCCACAGGTTGCTGTCCACGTCGCATGCATGGCTTTTTTCTCTTGCACGTTGTCGCCGAAATAGCTGCCTCTCTCCTTAATGCCGCATATCTCTCTCATTTGCATTGTATAAATAGTTTAGTCCAGTTGCTTTGTAAATCACATCAATTCAACATTTGAATTCATTCTTCTTCTTTCTTTGTCCCTCACGTATCATATATATATATATATATATATATATATATATATATATATATATATATATATATATATATATATATATTATACTTTCCCATTTTAGTAATTATATTTTTCCTATTATTTAACTTCTATAATTCTCAATTTTCGATTCTTCGCTTCCGCATTATTCCGCTATATTCCTAACAAGTGGTATCAGAGCGGTTTAATTGAGAATTATTTTCAAAGATGTCGACTGTTACTAAGTTCGATATCGAGAAGTTCGATGGGGAAATTAGCTTTTCTATCTGGAAGGTTCAAATGGAAGCCGTTCTAACCCAGAATGGTTTGAAGAAAGCGCTAGCTGGGAAGAAGAAGAAACCAGCTACAATGACAGATGAAACTTGGGAAGATTTGGATGACAAGGCACGTTCAACCATCCTTTTGTGCCTGTCTAAAGAGGTTCTACGTGAGGTAGTAAGTGAGACGAGTGCGTCAGATTTATGGTCCAAGCTGGATACGCTTTACATGGCCAAAACTCTGGCGAACACGCTGCGTTTGAAGGAGCGTCTGTACACAATCCGTCTGACGGAAGGTACTTCTATTAAATCTCACTTGGATGAATTCAATTCTATTTTATTGGACTTGGAAAATATTGATGTCATAATTGACGATGAGGATCGTGCTGTTTTATTGCTTGTCTCTCTCCCTAAATCATACAAGCATTTCAAAGAAATTATGCTGTATGGTAATAGTAGTGACACCCTTACTTTCGACATTGTTAAGTCAAACCTATTGTCCAAAGAAAAGTTTGACTTTGAAATTAACTCTGAGGACAAAGGTGAAGGCTTGACTGTAAGGGGTCATTCACTTGAAACAGAGAGTAGCAATAAAAAATCTAGATCCAAGTCCAACAAATCATGTAAGTACTACAAGAAGCATAGTCATGATGTGACTGAATGCTTCAAGCTGAAAAACAAGCAAGAGAGAGAAAAGAAGTCCGCTGAAGCTAGTGTTGTTGAAAGTGATTCAGATGGTGATGTGTTGTTATCTG